AACATCTTTAGAATTACTTGTCTGCAAGCCTCACCCCCCAACAGCTCCCTGTTTTGCCCTGTGCTAGTTCTGAAGCAGAGCTTCAGAAAGTTGAAGTCAAAGACCTGACAATCCCAAATTTGCCCCAGGAACTTACACACGGAAAACACCTCTTTATTGAGGAGCTGCACTCAAGGCTATTCTTTCCCAACTAATTCAGTAACCATCCTGTTAGTAGACGTACACCTTCCCCAGCTCATTTTTTCCTGCAAAATAATTTGTTCATTTTCAGTTTTCTCTCAGAATTTGGATCCCAAACACAGAAAGGTATGTCAAGACTACATGCCAGCCCAATTTATGAAACCACAGCTTGACAATGCCTTAACTACACACATTTGTCACTAAGAGACCAGTAGGCAAGAAGACAAACTTTTTAAAAGGCAACTCACTATGTCAGGGCTGGCAACAAAACAGAACACGACAAAATAATGTTTTTTAATTTTAACCTTGAAGTCTAGCACTGAATGCAAGGGCTTACAAAGAGTGGAGGATGGATTTACAATTTCATTTGTAAACCAGCAAAGCTACAGTTTCCCAACACTTTCGTCAACATAATAAAAAATTCTCAGAAACGATCACACCTTGTTGTGGTATCAGAAAATTTTTCATGTTGGGCTTTCAGTCTGAAAAATAAGTCTTTGAGAAAAGAATACAATTAATTGATCTAAATACTGATGAATACAGACATTATCTTGCAGATTTGAGAAACACTTCTTTCCCTTATTCACGATTTGTTTAAGGTGTTATGAAAACCATCTATCTGCCCTGATCAGTAAACTTAAGGAGTGTAGTAATGATTTAAAAATGAATGCAGAATTAAAACTGAGGTTCCAGGAGCTAAGATAAAAGCTAGTGGTCATTCTAAATCTGGGCTTTGTCAAATCCAAAACATTCATATTCTCATTTGCCAGTGTTACATCTGTATCAAAGAACATTACAGTTATGCAGATAAGGGTAAAATGATACTCATTAATCACTTCCCACTGTTAAATTTAAAGGGCAATAAAACCAGTTGATACTATAAAGGACGCTTTCTTTATAAACCACAGGATCAAGGAGGGCCTATTGCTCTAAGTTATGGAGAATCATTTAGTAAAACTGATTTACATTTGACTATATACTAATGTGTGCATTTGGCACTTTCTTTATGTGCTTCTCACCAATTTGCTCTCCAGGTTAAAAAAATGAAAAAAAAAAAAAAAAGAGAGACCTTCTGGGCAAATGACACAATGATTCATTAAACCCTTTTAGCCATGAAGATGCTGTTAAACATTTATGTTACTTCTTTAACGACATTTTCCACATCACTGTTTTTTCAGTGTAAGGCAGACATTTACCAGGGCTCTGGTTTGGTGTCGCACATACACCTGAACATCCTGCTTATCTTATCAGCTCAGAAATTGTTTCTGACATCACAACAGCAGCTATTTACATATACAGAATTAACAGTTTGTTCTGTTACTATTAACTCCCAATTTCAAACAAAAAAAGATAAGCCATTTACTTGCTTTTTGAGAGTACGAGTGATTGTACACTTTACAGCATTGTAAAGTACCTCACACATCCCTGCAAATGTTAAAGGGAAATGTATTAGATGCTGAATAAAAGCTAATTTAACTGAAGCATCAGACATATTTATCTTCCATAATTCAATTGCATTTTATTGTCCACTGCAGACAAACTTAGTTTTCCTGTATGTATTCAGATCGGAGACTTAATGAAGCAAAATAACCACGTTTAGTATCAAAAAATTTTTTCAACAGTCTTAGGTTTCTCATTTTCTTCACTCGAATTCTTTTTCTAGTCTCACAATTGTTTGACAAAAAGTTATATTCCAAAAGCAAAGATTTAACTTTATCGCCTTCAGGCAAAAGTTGTCTGGGCACATAATGGTCCTTCTGAGCAGCTACTTTACTGTTTTGGTTAACTGTTTCCAGTGTTCACAAACTAGTTAGTTAAGTGGAAATTAAACTTCTGCTAGCATCTATGTGGATTCAAACATAGGCAGAAAAAGGGCAGGGGTGAGGCGTGCAAAAGGTTCCTAAACCTCCTTCCCTTTTGCTTATTTTCTTTACAAAAAAAAAATTTTTAAAAAAGTTCATTGTTTTACTTAAATCGGAAGCATTTCAACACCAGTATTTTTTCCAATCTATTTTTAACAACATACCTAACTTATTTTACTAACACATGCAAAACTGAAGATGGTGCAACATGAAACAGTTCATTTCTGGTCTGAAGTGCTAAGACTTTATACTATTAAGATATGAGTAAGTACGTGGTTATGAGTAGCTATGTCTGAGGTGGGATGAGAGAAAGAGGATAGGAGGGGCAAGAGAGAGAAAGAACACACACACACTACAATCCTAAAGCAGCGCAGCCAGCTTCAAAAAGGGAATGTTACAATACCCTTCTTAAAAGTTAAAAAACCAAGGGAGATGAAAGGAAGTACAAAAAGTTTCCGTCCAGACACATTTTCAGTTACTAACTGTCAAGACAACACAAAGTAGCAAAAGAAGAGACCGCAAAACTTCAGGTCAACCCTTCCAGCAAGCATATCAAAGAACAGAACGGCTGTAAACGCGACACAGAACTATCATGTGGAGATTGTGGTTTTTCTCCAGCTCCAACTCTAGCTCAACAGAAGATCAGTCATCAGTGAAATTAAGCTTTCTGTCCCGTAATTTTCTGTCATCCTTATAGAGTATGTGGATCATAGCAAGTGTCAAACGAGGCGGTCCAGCCTCCTGAACAGTTCCACTTGACTTTTATCACATACCTTGACTGCCAGAGTAGAATGCCATTAAATATGAACCAGTGAAGTAAATTCTCTCAACATAAACTGTCTGATATGCCTTTCTTGCAATAAGAAAATGGCATTCGCACCCAGAGCTAGAAGGTCATGAGTATTTCCAATATCCACAGTCTTGCTGACCAAAGAAAAAACTCCCGACACCTATTTTCTGTAGTGAAGTAACCTAATCAAACCACAGGAAAATTCCAATGTAAAGCAAAACCACAAGCAAACAAAAAAACTTTTTTCACATCAGCATGTCACAATTTCTATGCAAGATCTTTTGTCTGAAGTAATTTCATGTAGAATCACACTAGATGCTTTATTTCGGAAACAGTAAGAAAGTTCACCATCATTTTGAAGACTTCATTTTCTCTTACCTAATGATTTTACACCTAGTGTTACACTATAAGAATTTTATTTCACATCTGAGTAGTACTTACAGAAGAAAGATATTGTGTCTTTTGTGCGTGTTGGTTTTCCTATAAAATACTATGGAGTCATCAATCAGTGACAACTGACTGCAATTAGCTTCAGGCTCCAGCAGTATATGTTAGTCCCTTTCAAGATTCAAAGTAAAATTCACAAAAGAATAGGAACTCTTTAGTGTTTTAGTCAAAACTTCCAATAGCTGCACCTACTGAGCCACTCAAAGAACAGATCAATTGTACGTTGCTGTACCCAATTTATTTACCATCACATACAGCATCTAACAATCAATGCTTCAAATTGTTCAAGTGGCAATGTATTAGAAGAGAGTTTGGCTTCATAGTCTAGAGACGCAAATTTGAAATAACTAGCTGGATCAGTAAAGCCCTTTTGTTCATCTAGAATGTCAGAAATTTTGTATAAGTAAGATTACCACGGAGGGGAGGCTTCTGAGCAAGACTCTAAAGAGATCATAGCATCCCCTAGAATTTGCAAAAAACCACTAAGCACTGTTTTCTCCACTTACCTTTGACCAAATGCTACTTAGCTAGTATTCTGTAGTATATAGCTGCATTTCAGTAGAACTGTTCATACAGCATACAGGGTTCAATCCTGTAAGTTTCTGCACATTGTATTAGATAGCTACCTCACTAAGCGTTACCTCTATGAATCTTCAAGTAAGTTGGAAGTATCTGTGCTCCAGCATCTGGCTTTCAAGCACTACTACGTTAGAACAAATACATGTATCTGATTAGTCACTCTACTTCAACTCTGCAAGCAGAGTCAGATGGAATTAGCCAGACTGAAATTTTATGAAAGACATGCACTTTTTTATCAAACTTCCCACAGAATAGGGAAGACCAATATCTGTGCATTCTCACTGTCTCTCTTTAACTTCAGTAACAGGAAAACTTATTTATACTTGCTTACCCTCTCAATATAAGACCTAAACAATTTCTATTTAAATCAGTACGGAAGTCCAACAGACTTGAAATCAGGGAAATTTAAGCCACGGGAGTTAATCTACCAATATTTGTACTAAGGTAGTGTCTTACTGCCTCTCTACTTCCCAAGCAAGTTCCGTGGCTCAGCACACCCCTCGCGCAGTAAGTCAGCAGTTAGGCTCCAGGTCTCGCTCCAGAGCTCTCCTGTTCCTCTGTTCGGAAAATACTGCCACCTCACCATACAGTCTCTTTGGCTCTACGTACACTCAACTCAACTGTGATTGTTTATTGACCAGCAACATCCATAGCACTGGCCGAAGCAGAGAAGTAAAACTGATGATTACCTTTCCCAAAGAACAAGGTACAGAGATTTCCAGCAGTACTTAAAACAGTTCAACAGGAACTGACTATGTTTCTCACAGAGCTTATGGCCTGCTGACACTTGAGATAATTTGAACAAAAATGTAAACCAGAACACAAAATAAAGCATATAACATGATTTAGTGGGCAATAACAAGGGTGAGGGGAATGGAAGAGCGCTACATAAAATAACAGAAAAAATTGCCACAAGGTCACTGAAGTGACTGCTAGAAAACTGCCGATCCCCGTTCACATGGCCAAGAGGATGATTTATAGATCAGAACAGAATCTACAAACCCAGCTGCAGCAGTGCATTTATCTTTCCTTCTTCCATTTCTACGTATAACACACACTACCATCTGCTGGACAAAGGGCTGAAGTAATCCAGTAACATACAAGGTTTTTTGTTGTGAGAACCCCTTTACCATCATGTTTACCTGAGGCAGATGCAAAACAACCTGGGATGTGCGGAGACCATATAGTGCTGTAAATGACCCCTTCATGGCCTTTAAAAGTGCATAATGACTTCCCCACAGCTGGATCCCACTGAATAAAGTAAAAAGAAAACTGTTGAGGTACACATTCAGTAAGAAAGGAAAGGGTTTCATACACAAAAGCTTTATACGTACAGAAAGGACTAAATGAACTTTTTAACACGTATCGTGAAAAGCATTTCTATACTTAAACTGGTATCAACTGCAACATCTCAGTTAAAACAGCATTTCAGTCTCAGCATGAAAATAAAGAGGAAAAGTGAATCAAGGCTGTTTCTTAACACAAAGAACTATCAGATCCAAAACAAATCACATTTTTCAGCTTCAGCAGAAAACCAACATACCAGCTTGGCTGTTTGATCCCAAGAACCAGACACCACTAGCTGCTCTCCTCTAGTTTGGCTCCAGTCAACACTATATGCCTATAAATGATATAACAGCCTACATTAGAAAGAGCATTAGAATACAAGTTTGAGACTCTAGTTAGCCAGTTGCACAAAATGTACCTGGATTTGCAGATTGTATCCTAATCAGCTAAAAACCCACAGCAGTCATGCACCACAAAGCTGTCAACAATGCCATTTACCTGAACAAATACTAAATTTAACACGTCAGTCTGGCATTCAGCCTCAGAAAAGTATCCAAAAAAGTAAAAATGGGCCAAAATGGAGGGGAGAGGTTGTAACAAAATCTACATAGACCCACCATCACTAGAAGTTTCTATCACTCTAAAAAGCCATAATTCAGACTGATTTCTTAACTCTGACCCAATTTTATTCAAATATCTACAGTTTCTAATTGCTAGCAGTGTAAATGCCACCTCTCAGAGCTGACTATGGAGTTGACTTGGAGGTTTTAGCTGACTAACAATAAATGTTTTTTTATGGTATCTAACTCTCATAAGAAATGCGTGTCATAAAATATAGTCCTGATTTTGATCTTTTCCAGGTTCTATGATACTCTTTTTTTACCAGTCATATCCTCAAACAAGTAAAATAAAATAAAATTAAAAACTCAACTTCCCTCATGACTAATCATTTCAGCTATTAAGAAACTGCTTTTCACTGTGTAGCTGAAATAAGCTCCCTCTTCTCTGAGTTTGTTCTCACCCTGGTCCCTGACTTGACAGAGGATACCTTAACTCCATCTTTCACTGCTGATTTTTCAACTCTGCTGCCTCAGCGAAAACAAACGCTCTAAGATAGTCCTTCAAATTACTTCAAACCTGAAAGTCTCAAGAACACGTACAACCTCCACCTTCAAATGCACCGTATCTTTATCTACATGATAGAAGATACATTCTATTCTGTCTAGTTTTACCTCACCCCAAAATGGCTCAATAAGCTGCAGTGGGACATGAACCATTTCAGTGCTAAGATGGATAAGTATTAGCTGAAACAGTTTATTTGCTTCACCTCCTGACTCAATAAGACCTTCCACAACACTTTTGGAAACACGGCCACTACCTACCAGTAGTAGGTGGCACTGCTCTCACCAGCTGGGCCACTAGCCACCAAGGATTTGTACTCCAGCTGGGACAATCTAGTACTAGCACAGCACTGGATCTCACCTGCAAGTCAACATACTAAATGCTGTGTTTGTCTTGGATAGATGGAATTGTGCATTAAATGACAGCAACCCTGTTTTGAAGGTGAAAGTGTTTGCACCTGTGTCACCAGACAAAAAAGCAGAGAGGCTGGAGTGGAAAAAAAATCCAGCAAAAGCCAAAGTCTTCTCTGGAATGTGTCCTGTGTAAGAAACGAAATCGAGGTATCATTTAGCTACTTCTGAGCATTTTCCTTCCTAAGAAATATTTCAATCTATGCTAGATCCAGCTTAAATTAACTGTTTTTCATCTATTTGCTTATTTCCCATAAGTGGAAGGCAACCACTGCCCATAGAAAAACAAAGCGCATTATCTGCAACTCTCCTTTTTAACTTCACAATGTCCTGCTTCCCATATACTGAGAGGCATATTACTCTGCACCATTTTGTGCTAGCTCCCTTCCTTGAGGAGCTTATAATCCAAATGTACAAGACACTCAGACAGTACTTGACAGAAGCCAAATTACAAACTGAGACATAATTCTTTTGTTTGTTTTTCCAAACCATGCCTTTACCTCTTGGCTCTTCTACTGCTGTCAGTTAACTAGTAGTACTACAGCTCATTAAAACACCCTCCCTTTCAACCTGACTCCTGCTATTAAAATAATAACAAAGGAGACACACAAGTACCTGCTCATATTTTAAGAATGGAAAACATCACAGTTCTCCGGAGTGGCTCCCAAGCTCCTCACAAACGTTAGCCTCTCTCCTTGCTCCTGAATCTCTGTGATGGTCTCTGTTCAGCTCCTACACTGTTGCAGTTTGGAAATACCCCTAAACGTATCACCATATAGTATGCCTCTTTCACACAACAGCCTTATGAAGACAGTTCAGTTGAAATGTTTGGCTCTCATATTCATGTCCAAGATTTTCCAGAAAGAAATACATCTCCGAGACATATGCACCTGTGTCACACAATTCACCTAGCCCCAAGTATTTGGGATGTATCAGATCTACTGCACAGATAAGGCAAAGCGCACATATGGCTTACAGCTCGCTTGCGAACTATCAGCACATTGATCTGCTGAACACGTGTTGTGACACACATCTGCGTACATGTGGCAGACGTGGTTGGGACTGCCCAGCACTCGGTAGCTGCATCAGAGGCAATACGACCTGGGCAAGTTCTCCTCCAGGCAAGAATTACAACAGAACAGACAACAGGCTCAGAAAATGCAAGAGGCTATTTTCATTTTCCATTGGGCTTGTGACAGGTCCAGGTAATGGGAAGAGAATGAAAAGAAGAAAGTGTGGAGAACCAAGTAAGGTTCACTTTTATTCTTCTTTCCTTTCATGCTATCACCCAACATAAATTTACAGATGCTTCAATAGAAACTGTGTTGAGCAACTGGGAAAGACTAATAACACAGCATAAACATTAGTTGTTAATCTTTCAGTGCTTTATCTTCAATCATAAAATACATTAATACCAGTTTACTCCTAACCAGCAGCAAGAAATGCCTCAGGCAAAATGAAAAGATGATGAAAAAAAAAGATGTAAAAACATAAAAAATAGCTCAAAATAAATGTTTGTGATCACTTTACAAGACAAATTTAATTCAAGCATTCTATTGTCTCACATTCCAGTGAGACTTCATCAAAACCAAAGTAAATTAGACTAATTTATTCATGAGATTCAGCAGTTGGTTAGTGCTGGAATAAAACTCATTGTCCTTTGACAATAAAGATGGGCTTTTAAATTAAAAATGCACATTCTTTTTGAGAAGGGACAATGATCTCACTTAGAAAACAAGAAACAGATCCCTGTCAATCTTGCATTAGAAATATTGTAAAATGAAGTAACAAAATTGTCACTAAAAATGGCAGACAGGGATTAAGGATTAGGAAGGTAGTCAATCATTTTAAAGAGCACTGTCTGCCAGTGTTTACCACGAACCATTAGGTACATCCCCTCTGAGATCTATCCTCTTAATGCATGTTTATAAAGAATCAATACAAACCTTTCATATCTCACAATAAACACTCAGCCCATGTTTCCTATACTGTCTTTCTAACTCATGGTTGAATGCATCCACCTCCCCCCGCTACCTGCTAAACTAAGACTTGGACACAGAAATGTTTACTTCACCAACAACAGATGGTGTAGCAGAACCAAAATAAACTTACGGACAGAATTTCAGTGAGAAAATGATAGAGACAACAACAACAAAATTTGGTATTACACTTTGCCTACATCTTTCTGCTACTACCATCAGCCTTTGAACACTATTATAAAGTCCTGATCACAACTCCAAACTCGTCTCTCAAAATTCTTTATTTACATAGTATACGTATTAAACCAAAGTAGCAAAATTACAAAGGAATAAGGTACAGAAGACGGACTGTCACATAACTGCAGTCACTCAGCTTTCAGCTTAGTGCTTCATATCTGAAAAAAAATCTTGAGGTCTTTGTGAATACAAAACTGGATTTCCTTAATCATTTTTTATTGACTACATATCCACTAGGTTATTTTATTCAGATTTATGTCATTTAGCTAAAGTGTCAGTAATGCAGGCTAAACCGATTGCATCTAAATTTCAAAGACTTGACAGAAGTGAGTGGAGAGTTTAAAAGGAAAGCATGAAAAAAAAAAGGGGAGGTGTCTAAAAATCACTTGGGGGAAGACACAATAAAGCATAAATGTCCTTAAAATACGCAAATACATTTATGAACATGAATAAAACAATCTTCTCTACCCATACTGCACTGCAGAAAGAAACTGAGATTTTAAGAAAATCAAATGCAACAGTATCAAACCAAGGCTAAAAAAACATACATGCTGTCCCAGCATCTGACTACTGCTATTTGAGTAGGATCTCAGAGATGCTAGGATGGAAAAGGATAAGCAGTTCCCGGGTACAACAGAAGTCCTAAGGATCTGCATAATGCGTATCACTCTATATCTTCAAGGATAACACTGCTGTATACATCAGCCGTCTGATTCAGACCTATCCAATACCGCTCTCTAAAAATCACAGAATGACTGCAGTATTTTCATACAACACAATGACTACTTGGTCTATAAGAAACCACAAACGCTATTTCTGAATATATTAGATTTATGTAATTAAGTGGTATGTACTACAGCATACAAATGTACATACGAATATGTACAACAGGTAATTCACTTTATATTGCAAATACTGTTAAGTTATAAATTCAAACCATGGACCCAAACAAAGTTAAAAAATAGACAACAAAACCCACTTTTGATTGTAAGTCCATAAATAAATCTTTTAATAATTCAAATATTAGGTCATCCATTAGATTTTTCAAGTTTGCTTGGTTTACCTCCTGAGCGTGCTCTTTATAGACTTGCAGCGGACCTTTGGCTTTAGCTGTATCCCAGATTTGCAGAGATCCATCTCCACTAGAAGTGATCAGCACATGTTCATTATTCTCACTCCAGGTCACATCAAAGAGGCCATCATTCCAGTCAAAACTAAATCAGAACAATGAAGATATTTATCCGTGAGAAAGCACGACATTAAAGTCTAGAATAGTTACATGCAAAGATAGTATTTCTTTAAATCACCCTCTTTACCATTCTAAACAGTATTTTTACATATTTGAGTTTCCAGTAAATGTCCTTACAAGTAACTTACTTGTTATAATGTCAACTTTTACAACTGTATGCCAGAATAGGTTGATTAAGTTAAAACATAAATGAGCCAAGGACCTTCCACAAACACAGAGAATGAAATCCAATTTCAGTCTTAAACTTGACAGGCAAACAGAGACAGAGGTACCACAAATCTCAGTCTGATCTATAGTTTCTCCAGGATGTTGCTACAGAGGTAGGAGCCCTTTGTAACAACTGTGGTAAACAAAGAAGCAAAACTGTTTGTGTTGAGAGAGCTCTGTCCAATTCACAACACCATTAGGAAGCTGAGTCACAATGAAAAACCAACAGAAAGACAGTCATGAACATATTAAAGATCTCTACACTCCTTTAAAAGGGCTTTCAACACACCCACAATTCATCATATGGGATCTGATACCCTATATTAGTTGCTCTGCAACAACTATCAATGACCATGCTGTTATCTGATGGTAAATACAAATTTATTTACCCCCTTTTCACTGAAGGTTCGGCTAAGCTCAGATTAAACTTCACGGCACCCTGCTGTAATGATGAGGGAAAGGCACGCACACAGAACGTTTCGATAGAGAAAATGACACAGCTTGTGGCTCAGGATGTTACAGGACTTTCTACCACAAAATAAGTGGAGTCACTGGAAACATAGAAATGAACAGTACTAAACCAGAGCACTTAGCAGAATTAACAGAGTGCTGAACAGCTTCAATGAGTCCTGCTTTATAATTCTGAATTAAAAACAGTTTCTCTGAGTACGATTAACTATTTGTTAATCACTTCTATTTCAGTCCTCAATTTAAACAATTGCTGTTTCAAAATTTTCTTAAAAAAAAATTCCAGGTCAACGGTGGTCAAGTATTAAACCCTCTCTTTCCTAAGCTTTCTCCCCCTCCGACCCAGAACACTAATCAAACTCCTGTCAAACCCTGACAATATCAGATCTCCTAGGAAGGACCTCCATTACTTTATGCAGCTTCCTGCTCTATTTTCAGTATAAGTCAATCATAAGAGCATAAATTTAGGTGGCAACGCACTGTTCCTAAAAAGCTAAAACTTTTAATTTCAAGCTAGGGCAGAGAGGCTGCTTTTAATTTACATTATCAGTTTTCTATAAAATGGTTTACACTACAGAAAGGGTGCAATCCAGATTACTTCCTATAACAAAAATCTATGCAATGTAAACCTATCATTTGCATGTAAATGCAAATATATTCATTTGTACATAAATACAAAAACATGTATTCAGTAGATACTACAGCATGGATACAATACTTTTCATCGCTAACAATAACTCAAAATATTTGCGTTGTGTCTTGTACTCACAGGGACATAATAAGATTTTCTCTTGCAAAAATAAAACATAAACATATGTTACCTTCTGAGCAGAACAATCCCAGCTTCATTTTGTTCCAGCACTGCCAGAGTTCCACAACCTGAACCAGCAAAATAAAACAAAATGTCACAACCAGATGCCCCCCCCCAGGAAACTACTGTGGTTCTGAGGCAGGTCCAATGTGCAAATACAAAGGGCATCTGAACTTTAAGAGGCCAAACAATTAGTTGCATAAACAAACATCTTGTTGTCTCATGTTTTCTAAAACAGTAACTCATTTACCTCAGGTTGGGTTTTGGTTGTGGTTTTGTTTTGGTTGGTTTTGGTTTTTTTTCACTCCAGTATACCTGTAGGTGAGGTTGGAAAAGAAACAACTCGCTTATAAAGCACAGAAGTGTGTTTTCCCTATGATCCTCACGTTACAGACGTAAGAGCACTGGATTCCTTTTTATCTTTTTGATACACAGCAGACATAAGACTTTTTTTTTTTTTTTTCCCCTGAATCCAGTAATACAAACACAGCTCACCAGAAACGAAACAAACAATTGACTTCTGAGAAAACACACACGGGTACTGCTTCCCCATAAGACTGGGATATTGTCAAAGTAACTCCACATTTAGAAACCTCATTTGAAAGGGATGCTTTCAGAAGCAATGCTCCCACTGGAAATGAAAAAGGTCCCAAGGCCGGGAAAAGCTCAACTTGCCTCTGCAACGGGAGTGTGCGGACACTCCGTGACTGAGACAACACTTGAAATTTTAGAGAGGAAATATTTTCAGACGTTTCATTCACATTGTGTATGCCTCTACTACTAGATTTATTCTCGACCCTATAAAATCAGCACTCCTCTGAGAGGGTGGGTGAAAAACCCCACCACCCCGGCAGGGTGGGGACCCCCGAGG